CTTCTCTATGTCACCGTGTTAGGCAAATAGGAGGTGTGTGATCAGATTTTTTGATACTTGTCAATTAATTGAGAAGTGATTGTTTTTATCTAAAAATTCATAGCAGCTGAAGTAAGTGGTGATAAAGACTTTGGAAGGAACCGAAGTCGCATGGATTTGGGGTTTGTCTCTGAGGCCGGCCCTCTTGCAGGTGACGGCATCCGGCTGTTGCAGATCAGCGAGAGCTTCCAGGCCCTGCAGCTTCACAGGGTTCGGGGTTCTTAGATCAGGCGGTGATTGAAGCCTGCCCGGTGTGGTAGCTCACGGTCTATGCGGTCTGACAAGGCTCCTGCGGGGCAGGCCGATGGAGGGCCACACCGGCATGGCCCCCTGGACTTGCGGCCCTCTGTCAGTGCTCGGGGCCTGTCTGGGAAAGCTGGGCTCCTTGGTTGTGAAAGGCACCCCTGCCCAGGGACTGGGGAGTGGCCCTCTGCAGGGGAGCATCTCAGGGCAGTTGGTGACTCCAGCGTGATTACTGTGAGGGTGCCGAGGGCATTTGGAGAGGCTGCGAGGGACATGGTGGTAGATTGCTTGGTCATGGCAGGCTAGTCAGAGCTATGACAGGTCATGCCAGGGAAGGCAGAGGTGGTGGCCACCGCCATCCCGTGTCTTCTGGGCACTTCCCTGTGCCACCGATTCTTGTAGACGGGACCCCAGGTGCTGTGGCCGGGGTCTAGGCGCAGCATGCAGCTCCCCTCTGGGAGGTTGTTTACACCTGGCGTGCAAATGTGATGCTTCATGGAAAGGTAAGAGCTAGATGGGCTTCTTTCATAAACATTTCTTTATAAAGTTAATTTTCATTTATGTTTTGTATAAATTTTTTATGATTTATTTGACACAAATTAATTCTATCAGAAATTGTTTTTTATTCTGGGTCCTGCTTGATTCCAATCAGCTGTTTATCCAAGTCATCAAAAACTTAAATTTTCCACATTTGGAAGTTCCTTTCTACCCCTCAATATATGCAGTTCTGAGGAACTAAACTCTCTTTCAAGAGAAGAGAAACGGTGTTTCCTCCCTCGGGAGCTGGTGGCCCTGGTCTGGCAGGCTCCTTTCCCCGGGCCTGGTCCTGGAGCGCAGCCTGGTGAGCACTGTCTTTGGGACAGTCCTGTGTTGCAGTCTCTCCGACCAGCCGCACCTCGAGGTGGTTCCTTGGGGAGGTGGCGGGCCCTCACATGCCCACATGTGCCAGGCCCCGGTCCTCTGAGGCACCTCAGGGCTGTGCATGGGAGGCCCAGCATGTGCCTTGCTGCCTTCCATGGAAGATGTGGCCCTGGGTGGGCTTGCTTTGGCCTGGCTGAGGACTGTGGGTCAGGCACCCAGTGGCGTCCAGCATGGAACTTGTGGTGGTGGTGCTGGCGGTCCCGTTTGTGGTTGTCTCCTATGTGTTTGGTACATCTGTCATGGTGGGGTGTGGTGCCACTCCTTAGTGTTGGAACAGAGTGGGGGTGCCCGCTTACTCAAGCACTGTTCCATCTGCGCATCAGTGTTTACGTCATGTCCTCCTGTCGAACTGCAGGCCGGGCTGGGTAGCTGGGGACAGGGGGTGACAGGTTGGTGTGGAATACGCTCACCAGCTCGCAGGGGATTCAGTGAACAGCACCTCTGAGCTGGCGTGGGAGGAGGACCTTTCTCCAGGGCCTGGGGTGGAGTTGCTTTCCTGGCCTTGACATGGGGGTGCCCCTCCTGCTCGGCAGCTGGGCAGACTTGCACCTGAGCAGCCAGTGACTCAGGGCTCGGAGAACATGCCCCAAGATGGGAAGCTGGTTCGCCGTTGCAGAAAAGCAAGCCTGGGTGGGTAGCAACTGAAGGGTGCGGCAGCTTAGCCTGATTACTGAGAAACTCGTTTTATTTGCACCTTGCGCTTTGCTAGGTTCTAGAAGGACAGAAGTACACCCCACGGCCTTTTCCTTCAGCCCCCTGGAGGCTTTTGCTCCGATCTCTGTGGGGCGTGATTGCTTGCAAATGTATGCTTTCAGCAGGTGGTTTTCAGTGGATTCATGCTTGATGCTTCCATGAAATGTGGAGGGCATCTCCTGCCTTAGGCAGGACAGTGCGTAAGACCATCAGAGGACTAGGACGCCTTTTCTGGCTGCTCTCCCACTGCTGAGGTTCAGTGTCCTCCGTGCACGCCCACCTGATCGTGCGCTGTCTGAGTGAAGGGTCATGAGATGGCCCCGTTCTTAGGTGGAGAAACAGATCAATAAACAAACACAGAGCCCTTGTCTTCATGGAGTTCTGGTCCTTCCTTTTCATCACTTTTGCCTCCTTAGTCTGTCTGTGGGAGAGTCGGTGACTCCCGTGGGATTCAGTGTGAGCTGCGGAGTGTGGGGATAGAAAGAACCCGCCTTGTACCTGTGGAAAGGTGGGGTGTTGGTTCCTGCCTTGTCCAGACAGTGGCCAGTGGCGGGGCCTTGGTGCTGGTCCCCTTGTGCGTGGGGATGGGGGCTGCCATGGGGTGAGCCAGTGTATCTGGGTGGGGGCCTGTTACCTACTCCCTGTGCCCAGGGTGGGGCTGTGTTCTATTCTCTTATTTAGACATTGTAAGGAATCTGGCAGATAAGCAGTGTTCACATGTGAGATCATTTCACAGTATTTTACATGTATTTACATTTTGCAATATGTCAGTAATCATGAGTTCATGTGTGATTGTGCATTTCACAGTATTTTTAAATTCTTACTATATGGTTAGTGGACAAGGCCAAAGAGCACTTTAGCCTGAAGCCGCCATGTGCTCCCAGCTGTCTGCTGCCCACTGTCCTTCCCCCCCTTCCCCTGCAGACCTCTGCCCTGGCTGAGGCTCTCTTCTAAGCTCTCCTGGACGTTGATGGTGGCCTCCTTAAAGTCCTTGTTTTTAGCTTTTGGCCCTACTCCCATGTGTCGTCCCTGACATCACCAGCATGATGTCTGTCACGGGAACCCGGGCATGTCACTCCACAAGGACTGGGCAGCGGCCGTCTTGCCTCATGCAGGATCTCTCATGTGGTTCCGAGCAGGGAGTCTGTCGTCTGCCACCGTAGCGCACCAAAGCCTGTGGCTCTGAGTAGCAGCCATGCTGTGCACATGGATTCTGTGGGCCCGGACAGGCCGGGCGCAGGGTGGCTGCCTCTGCCCTCCATGTCAGGGCCTCGGCTGAGAAGCCCACGTGGTGGGCCGTGGGCTGCTCAAAGGGCAGAGCAGCTCCTCGACTGTCGAGACCTGGGACTAGGGCCCGGGGGCCGGGGAGCTGGGGAGGGAGCGTGGGGCCCACAGGCCCGCATACCTTCAGGTGACCTGAAACAGGCAGTTCTCATTATGGTGTTTCTGAAGGAGAGAAAATTCTTTAGCTGTTTCTTAGAAGTGGTCACACTGGGATTCTTTAGGGAGCTTGCATACAGGCATTAATTTCCCATTTTTCTTCTGGACTTGAAAGCTGAAAGTAAATTTTCAGGTTGGGAATTCTGGGGGTTGGAGGTGGTCCCTGGTTGTAGGGGAGGTGGACCGAAGACCCCAGCTGAGAAGATGCCATTATTTAGACATTGTAAGGAATCTGGCAGATAAGCAGTGTTCACATGTGAGATCATTTCACAGTATTTTACATGTATTTACATTTTGCAATATGTCAGTAATCATGAGTTCATGTGTGATTGTGCATTTCACAGTATTTTTAAATTCTTACTATATGGTTAGTGGACAAGGCCAAAGAGCACTTTAGCCTGAAGCCGCCATGTGCTCCCAGCTGTCTGCTGCCCACTGTCCTTCCCCCCCTTCCCCTGCAGACCTCTGCCCTGGCTGAGGCTCTCTTCTAAGCTCTCCTGGACGTTGATGGTGGCCTCCTTAAAGTCCTTGTTTTTAGCTTTTGGCCCTACTCCCATGTGTCGTCCCTGACATCACCAGCATGATGTCTGTCACGGGAACCCGGGCATGTCACTCCACAAGGACTGGGCAGCGGCCGTCTTGCCTCATGCAGGATCTCTCATGTGGTTCCGAGCAGGGAGTCTGTCGTCTGCCACCGTAGCGCACCAAAGCCTGTGGCTCTGAGTAGCAGCCATGCTGTGCACATGGATTCTGTGGGCCCGGACAGGCCGGGCGCAGGGTGGCTGCCTCTGCCCTCCATGTCAGGGCCTCGGCTGAGAAGCCCACGTGGTGGGCCGTGGGCTGCTCAAAGGGCAGAGCAGCTCCTCGACTGTCGAGACCTGGGACTAGGGCCCGGGGGCCGGGGAGCTGGGGAGGGAGCGTGGGGCCCACAGGCCCGCATACCTTCAGGTGACCTGAAACAGGCAGTTCTCATTATGGTGTTTCTGAAGGAGAGAAAATTCTTTAGCTGTTTCTTAGAAGTGGTCACACTGGGATTCTTTAGGGAGCTTGCATACAGGCATTAATTTCCCATTTTTCTTCTGGACTTGAAAGCTGAAAGTAAATTTTCAGGTTGGGAATTCTGGGGGTTGGAGGTGGTCCCTGGTTGTAGGGGAGGTGGACCGAAGACCCCAGCTGAGAAGATGCCAGCTGAGAAACTGCCCCATGGGCGGCAGTTCTGTGTGGGTGGGCAGCGGGGTAGGGGGAGCCCTTTCATTTGACTAAGAATGAATGAGACTCCAAGAGCGAATCTTCCGACCCCTCGGCTTTGTGTGAGATATTTCCACCGCAGTGTGTGTCCTCCGATGTCTTTATACAAGGTGATTCAAGGCCCAGGGAGAGTCCTCACTCACTCACCCTGTGCACTCGAAGGCTTGGCATGGGACCCTCGGAGGTGCAGCCTGGGTGCTGTTGATGCATCTGACTTTATGATGGCCTATTTTAGGAGGTTACCTCTCCAGTTTCTTGTAATTCCTTTCTTTTTCATGTGCAGAAACTTTTGCTGTTATTTGGAGGTGAGTGTTCAGAGTAAGAATTCTGGAAGATGCAACAAACTGTTTTGATTTATGTTTTAAGTTTGTAAATTTATTTGCAGAATTTAAATAGAATCCTCTTTTTTTTTTAAGGCACAGATATTTAAGCATGGAAAGCGTGAAGACTGTTTACCATACGGTAAGGTTTATGTGTAAGAGACGGTGTGTCTGTGGTATGTTCCCTTCGTCCTTTCCCCAGAAACAGAAGTCTACAACTTACTGTGTTTGGACCCCATCAAGTCCTTTGACTATTCACGTCGTGTGGGCGGGTGGGCTTTAAGAATCCGACCCTGTCCGGGAGGTCTGGGCTCCTTGGCCAGCAGACACAGCTCACCTCCTGAGGGCCTGGTCCCTACTCTTCCTGGAGCAGACTGTGACTTCCACTCGTTGCCTCACTTCCGATTTTAGCTGGACCTCAGTTTATGAAATAAGAGCCAAGGATCACCACCTGCCTGAGGACACTTTTTAGCTCTGTGCCTTAGAGATACACTATCAGATTTGAATAGAGGAGTCTTTTTTCTTAAGTTCTCATTATAGAAAATTTCAAATGCATTTAGCGGAAGAGAGAATGTACAGCAAACTCCCGCATTTCTGCCATGAGCTCCACATCGAGTCACGGGCACTCTGGTTGCACCCAGGCTCTGTCTCACCCCAAGAACACCCTGTGGTTGCATGTGCATCTGTCTCAGCATGAGTCCCATGGAGAAACGGGGACTCTTGGCATCACAGCAGCCGCTCAGCATCTCACATGCTGCCCTTGGTGCCCTGCATGCGGCCCCTGGTCTCAGCTGTTCTGTCATGCCCAGGTTGCACCCTAGGTTCTGTTTGGACCCCAATTCTGGGAAATTGTTCAGATGCCAGTGCAACTGGTCTCGGAACCCACCCTCCTCATCCCCACCCGAAATGCTGCCCTGTGTGTTCTCCACCCTTGGCCGCCTGACGCCCTCCTCATCCCCAGACAGCCGTAGCAGCCGGGGCCCAGTCACCATTTCCCTTCTTGTGGAGACCGTCCCCCTCAGGCTGGCAGCATCTTTTCCTACAGCTCGTTCCCTGCTGCTGTCACTCCAGTGTGAGGCCTGTGACGGCACGTAAAATGACAGCATGGCAGCATACAAACCCTAAACCACTTGCGTGGCCTCTTGTTACCCACAGCACATTCTCCTACATGCCACCCTTGGCCTAAGCTGCTCTCTCACCCTTTTCCTGCTCTCTGGGGGTCCCTTTCCCTGCAGCATCCATGTCTCTTACTTCACTGAGAAAGTTGGGCAGGTTTGACTCCTCGGCTGGGTGGAGGAGATAAATGACACAGAGGCAGGGGTCTTAGGAATAGCTTCAGGGCGTCAGTTACAGTTGGCCACCATACTGCATTTGGGGGGACCCGTAGAATCGCCTGCAGATGTCAGACACAAGTGGTGCAGTCTGGGAGCTCACATCAAGTCCTTGCTGCCAAACTGAGGGGAATGTGCTGCTGTTCACAGCTGCCACCGTTCTCCGGTGCCTGGATGGCTGCAGGATTCCCGACAGCAACCAGACTGTGCTCCGGAAGCTCGGTGTGAAGCTGGTGCAGCGGCTGGGCCTGACCTTCCTGAAACCCAGGGTGGCAAAGTGGAGGTGGGTAGACCTGGCCAGGGCCGTGCGGGCCTGCGCGTCTGTCGGTGAGGCTGATGTGGCCGCCTGTGGTTGCGCCGCTGAGGCAGAGTAGCCTGGTTGAGAGTATCTTCTGCTTTCAGTTTTTTAGTCTCAAGAGTGTGTGATTTTGAGTAACAGTTTTCTTTTTGGTTTTCTTCTGACCTTACCTCTTCCAGTTAGAATGATCAAAGCTGCAGTGGGGACACGGAGCTGCTTTTTGCATTTTGCGTGCGTGTTGTTCAGGTGCAGTACAGCCCTAGAAGTCTGGGCTTGCTGTGGGGAAAGCTCCATTTTTATCAGTGGTCAGTCTGAATCTCAGGCTTTTTTTGAAGAAAACACAGAGCCCTTAGCCTCTGGGTGGGAATGAGGACCTGGCAGTCTGGTGTGGCCTGCCTTGCCTAAGAGAGTGCTTTCCAGTTAGTGGCTCCAGGGAAGCAGACTTTTCTGTGTTGGGGTACCATGTCTTTACAGGCTTGTTTTATTTCAGATTTTATATGCATGGTTTGGGAAGAATTATTTGATTAAGTTCAGCTCTGCCTTCATCTTGAATTATAACATGTTTCAAGTACATTTTAGTGGTGTTCTACTGAAACACCTTACTCAGGTGTTCTATGTACAGTTCGTTCTCTAAGAGGTTGTTTATGTGACTGAATGTTAGTGGTTAGTTTCCAGAATGCCGTGGAGAATGAGTGTTTGGTTCTGTGTCAGGGTCTCCAGCAGAGCCAGCAGTACGATTGCGTGCAGGTGCACACACATGCCTGAGGTGACTTAGGAGTAATTGGCTTGTGATTGAGGAGGCTGTCAATCCCTAGGCTGTGCAGGCTGAATCGGGAGGCTGGAGACCCAGAGAGCTGGAGGTGTTGGAGTCTGAAGGCTGGAAGAACTCCCGCATGCTCTGGGGAGCGCAGCCTATTCGCACTTCTCAGGCCTTCAGCTGACTGGATGAGGCCCGCCTGTGATGGGGAGGGCAGTCTGGTTCGCTCAGCCTGCTGATGTCAATGCTTTCTCATCTGGAAGCAGCCTCCTAGACATGCCTGGAATCACGTTGGACCAAGTGTCTGGGCACTCGGTGACCCAGTCAAGTTGGCACGTAAAGTTAACCTTCATGAGTACTGTAAACATTTACGTGGGAAGGAAGATAATTTGGTACCATGATTGTTTTCTTCAGTGTGTATTTCCATGTGGTTATTGTGTATGTTTCATGTGGTTATTGATGTGGTCTAAATCTGCTGGCCCTGCAGCTTTTCTGTCTTCTTGGACTTTTCTGTATTTTTATCCTGTTTTCTCCCGTACGTTTGTTCCATCTTTTAGTTAGCAGCACTGTGGTGGGGGTGGGGAGTGTTGGTGCCCCGCCAGGGGCAGGCGGGCTGCACTGCTCTCTCCAGGTGCCTCTCCTTCCTTCTGGAGTGTCGCCCACCCTCCTGCACGCTCCTCGCTTCCAGGGAGTGGCCATTCAGCCCCTCTTGCTGGGCCCTCATCCCAGTGCTTCCCCAGCATTACATGATCTCTGAACCCTCTGCTCAGCTCTCAGCCTCTCAGCTGCTCTGGATGCACCTCTGGGTTTTACCCTGCACTTGCTGGGGCTCCCGCAAAGGTGCAGTGAGGTTTTTACGTGTGCTTTAGGGTTCTCAGCAGCTTCCTTTTCCTCCAGTGCCTGTTCTCAGATACTCAGCTTGGTAGTTGCAAATGCTTTTTCTTCTACCCACTGAGAGTGCTGCTGTCCTCTGGGCTGTTTTCTGGTGCTGCGGTTGGGAACGCACCTTCCTTCGGGAGGGAGCAGAGGGCAAGGTGGGGCTCACCTGGGGGCTTCTCTGCTCTGAGGGCTTGTGGCCCACCTTGGTTTCCATCTTGTACCTGCCAACAGTTGGTTTGGGCATTTTGTCCCAGTGTGCTGAGGGTAAGTCTCGTGGCAGCCTGAACCCTGTTGTCTTTATCTCCGTCTGGTCACCTTCTGCTGACCCTCATGGGGAGTATTTTCCTGCGGAATGATTCACATGTGTACGCATCGGCGGACAGTGGAACTGCTTGTAGCTGCCCCACTGGGTGCGTGTTGCGACCCAGGCACTGTGCTGGGTGCTTACAACCTTGATGGCAGCCCTGTGGCGATGGTGAGTGACACCACGCCTGTGTCAGGCACCTGATGCTGGCACCAGCTCTGACATTCACTTCCTACACATACACACCAGTCAGTTCTGTGACACCAGCAGTGCATCCTGTAATTCAGCCCAATTCTGACACTATTTGTGTACTCGTAGATAGCTTCAGATTGTATAAATTAAGAGCTCGGTCCCTCCGTGCTGCCTCCCCACCTCAGGTGCCAGTCGCAAGACCATGTTGTCACCGGGGCTTCTGCCTGCCTGCCTGTAAGTCAGAGCTCCCATGACCCCCTCCGTGGGTTCCGTTAGTTTGTTAGAGCAGCTCACAGAACTCGGGAAAACAGTCCATTTACTAGATCACTGCTTGATTGTAGAATCAGTGTGCACTATCTTGTGCATTACAGAAACTGTAACTCAGGAGCAGCCAGACAGAAGAGATGTGCAGGTCAAGGAGTGGGGAGAGGGTGCAGAGCCTCCATGGCCTCTCCAGGTGCCACTGTCCCCACACCCCACGTGTTCACAGACCCTGAAGCTCTCTGAACCCCGTCCTTTTGGGGTTCTATGGAGGCTTCTTTACAGACGTATGATTGATCAAATTATTGGCCGCTGATAATTGAACTCAACCTCCAGCCCCTCTACCATCCCTAAATGCTAGGGGGTGAGACGGAAGGTTCTCACCTTCTACCCACGGCTGGTTCCTCTGGCGACCAACCCCCTTGTTAGGTGACCTAGGGGCTTTCCAAAAGTTACTTCATTAACATAACAAAACACACATTAATCCAGACATGGACAAAGACCAAGTAAGTGCTTCTCATAAATCACAATATCACAGCTACATAATAGTACCCCAAAATGTAACACCTTAATGCATGTTTAATGCCCCCGTTTCTGGGTCAGGAATCTGGGTGTGGCCCAGGGGTCCTCTGATCAGGCTTGAAGGTGTCGGCTGGGCCTGCTGCTATCTCAAGGCTCCTGTCATTGGCAGTGGGACTCAGCTCCTTGTGGCTGCCTGTCGGTGGCCTCTCTGTAGGGTGGTGCATTGCTAGTGGCTGGCCTCCCTCAGAGTGAGCGGGGGACAGCAGGCTGGAGCCACTTGTCCTTACCTAGCCCTTCTCAGGGGTCGTCCCCTCCCTTCTGAGCTTTCCTAGTCAGAAGCCAGTCGCTGGGTCTGGCTGGGCTGCTCCCTGGGAGTGGGTGCTTGACTGTCAGAGGCTGACTGCCTGGGACAGTGCCACTGTCCTTGTTTTCGGAGTTGGAAACAGGCCCGGAGAGATAACGAGTCACTCGCAACTGCCGTTAATGGTGTCTGAGCGCCATGCTGTGTCTCCAGAGCCCTCGTTGCCTGCGTCCTGGAGTCGGCCTCGAGCTGCAGCCCCGGCACTCTGTGGCCTTCACTCTAAGGCTCTGCTGGGGCACCTGTTATGCTCCAGGCCTGGTTCTGGGCTGGGACCACCTGCAAGTCAGCCCGTGTGAGCTTGCCCCGGCACAGTGCATCTCACACCACCTCCAGCGGTGTGGACGGGCCTTCCTGTACGTGCTCTCCTCCATCCTCCCTGCTGGCCTCCGGGCAGGACCTTGTTTAACAGGTGGGGAAGCTGAGATGATGAGAGGTTCAGGAGCTGTGCTGAGTCGTACAGCTGGTGACCTCTCCGGCACATGGCGGGAATGACGCTGGTGCCTCTGGTTGGTGGGAAGAGGGTTGAGCTGCTGGGAACTTGTGTGGTTCAGGAGGCAGGCTCTAGGGGCTGTGGGCGAGCCACAGTCCCCTACATGGAGGCCTGGGGCAGTGGGTGGTTTCTCTGCTCTCGGGGCAGGGCAGGAGGTGGGCCATGTGTGAGTGAGCGGTGCCCCCCTTCAGATGTGTTCTCACTGTCCCACTGTCTCTACCATGAACCCTCGTGGCACGGGAGGGCTGCTGGGCAGCCTGTACTCCGGTCTGTGTACCGTGGCTGAGCTCAGGCTCTCCGTGCTGATGACAGGGATTGCTGCTTCCCGTCCTGTCCCCGGAAAGCCCCTTGCAAGGCCCCTTGGAGATTCCAGGATGCTAGTGGTCCAGTCACGCTAATGGGTACTTCATTCGTCAGGATATGTTGCCTTTGGGCCCCAAGTTGTGACAGTGGCTCAGGTGCATCTTGTCCGCAGGTACCAACGCGGCTGCCGCTCCCTGGCTGCCAACCTGCAGCTCTGTGCCCAGGGTCGGCGCGAGCTGAAGGCGCCCGTGGAGACTGCCGACAGTGATGAGGACTGCGATGTCCCTGAGGAGGTGGAGAGTGTGATAGGTGTGTGGGCTGCGCCTCTGGCATTGGGTGGTTGGTTTGCCTGGCGCCGGTGGTGCGGGGCCATGCGGTGTTGTGCTGGCCACATCACTGGACCTGCCCCAACCCGAGGTGCCATCTCCTTCTGTAGCCACACTGCCGTTGGCCCTGCACACCCCTGCAGCCTGCAGGGCCCGCCTCTCACCCGCTCCTTGTCCCTGCATTGGGGTCATATGACCTGCCCCTCCTCATCTGCTCTACCTCCTTTCCTGGGCTTTGCAGTGGGCTCCCTCTCCCCACTCTCTCCCTGGGTACCCCCCCAAGACACCCCCCCCCCCCCCCCCCCCCCCCCCCCCCCCCCCGAGGGCTCTCTCTCCCCTGTGAGCCCCTCTTGGGCTTCCCCCATGAGCTCCCTCCCCCTCCTGTGGGCATTCTCCCTCTCCTGTGATCTCCCCATCCATGGGTACTCCCCCTTTGCACGCTAGGCTCTCCTGTCCTTGGGCTCTCCCCCATCCCAGCTGGCATCTCCTCTTCCCCCTGTGGGGTCCCTGGCACTTTACTCCAGCCTCCCTGTCCTGTGAAGGATAGTGTCTGCCTCTGTGCTGGCGTTCTCCGCTCACGCCTGCAGTCTCGTTACATCTGCTCCACTCGGTGCATCATGCCCCTTTCCAGGCTGCTGTCCTTCGGCAGGTCAGCCTTCCCGCCTGCCTGGTGCTCGTGGTCAGGGTTCCCCGCCCCGCCCTTACCTTGAGGCCTCCAGCACCTTCTCAACTTCCTTTAGACCTTTGCATGGCTTTTCCTAGAGCCCGGCATGCCCCGAGCCCCTGATTCCAGTAGAGCCCGTCTTCTGAGCCCTCGTGTGGACACTGCCCCCTGGGAGCCTTCCTCTGACTTCTGGCCTTCCTCACTGCTGCTCTGATGGGTGCATCTACTTCTTGGGACAATTGCCAAAATTGGCTTTAGGCAATTATTTAAAAGCAGAAAGGAAGTGTGATTTTCACCTAACCTGAATCAAGATTCTTAAAGTGATCCCCTTTAAGGGCTCAGTGACGCTGAGGGTGGGTCACCTTGAAGCTGGGGAATCATGAACTCCTCTGGAGCCAGGGTGATTCTGCAGTGCTCACGGACCTGGCTTCCCTGTGTTCCTCCAGAGCAGCTGCTGGTCGGGCTGAAGGACAAGGACACGATTGTGCGGTGGTCTGCGGCCAAAGGGTAGGTGCCACTGTCTGACTGGGGGGCTGGGCCCGGGCCGCTGTGCACTTTTAGTCCCTGATATGTCATGTGGGATTGGAGAGTGGCAAACAGCTGAGAGATTTTTAATAAGGCAGAGTCGTTTTTTAAATTTGTAGGTTCTAATTTTAAAGATAATTGCTGCAATTGATCTGAGGCTCCGTTTTCTTGCCTTTCTAGCTGGAGTGGGCAGAATCAGCATGCCAGAGTAACTGTTTTACCTCCCAGTATTCCTTTCCTTGCTCTTTCTGGTCCTTTCCATGATCGCACCCTCACCCCCTGCCCCCCACAGATGGGGTGCAGCTCCCGTGTAGCAGGTCAGTGCCAGCAGGGCCTTGTTCAGAGGGAGGCAGGCACTCATCCTGTTATACCTGAGGGGCCTGCCGCCACGAGGTGATCAGCAGAGGCGGGGCCGGGCCGGGCACATAGAGCCGGCGGCCAGGGGGCACAGGGCAGGGGATACAAAGCACAGAGATGTGGAAGAGTCGGCCATGAGCCCTCTGTTGTGAGAAAAGTAAGCTAGGGGGCCCCCTTCCCCCAGAGGCCCTCAGCTCCTGGGCTGATCTGTTCAGATATACAAATGCCTGGGCTGAGGGGGCTCTCATGGGGGCTTTTGTGCTTATTTCAGAGCCCCCCGTCATGTCTTGTTGGAGCAGGATGTGTTTGGAGGGCCTTCCCGGGGCCCCTCCAGCCAGGACCCTGGCTCAGCAGGGCCTCAGGCCCCAGTGCTGTCAGGAGGCTGCTCTGACGTCAGGTGGTGTCCGGTGTGGAAGGGGAGCAGCCTGCGGGTGGCAGGGACTGGAGGGTTCCTCCGGTTGACGGGGACGTGGTGCTGCTCACCGGAAGTGACATGCTGCCCTGTGGGCCCCCGCTCTGGTGCCTCCACCCGCAGATGCATGCAGATGCCTGCAGATGCCTGTCCGTCTGTGTCTCTAGGATGGGGCACCCAGATAGGCAGGTGACCTTTTGTGGAGCAGAGCGTGAGCAAGGCTTGCTTAGGCCAGCCTCCTTCCTGTTGCCTGGAGGGAAGGAAAGTCGCTCCGCGCTCTTCTGACCTCGGGGTGCGTCCCCTGCACCGTGCGGACGGTACTGATGGGCGGCTGCCTTTTCAGGATCGGCCGGATGGCTGCAAGGCTGCCCAAGGAGCTGGCGGACGATGTGGTAGGGTCTGTGCTGGAGTGTTTCAGGTAAGCGGGCAGAGCGGAGGGAGCCACTTCTGGGCACGAGCAGGGAGGCCTTCCTTCTCTTTCCTTCCATCCTTTCACATTTTCTTGTAGTTGAGCTTTGTTAGTGTCCCCAAAGCTACTTTTTTCCCTTTTTAAGTTATACTTGAGAATTTGTTATGTCTGGTATATTGCTTTTTTCAGCTTAGACTCCATTACATTTAAAAACCTTGAGGAAGGAGAAAAATCCGTTTTGAACATACACACACACACAGGTGTTTCTCCTCAGAGGGGCCTGTGGCCATTGGTGTGAAGTGCGGTCTCTGCTGTCAGAGAGCTTCTGTGGTGTTAGCTTGTTCTAGGTCTGTGTCCGTGGCAGCCATCAGCCATATATGGCTGCTGAGGCCTTGACAAGAGGCTACTGTGACTGAGGACTGCATTCTACATTTTATTTAATTTTATAGAATTTAAATTAAGACAGCCACATGTGGAGTTGTGGGGCATCTGTCAAGCCTTTCAGAGAAGTGTGGGTGTCAGAACTGTGGGTGTCTGGCCTGCCTGTGATGCAGGTGTGAGTCAGGGTAGGGGGAGGCCTGTGTTCAGGGTCTGAGTCTGGGGCCTCCAGGCAGGTGTGCTCTTGGGCATGCATGCTCTTGGTGGAGGCCCGTTCGTTACAGCTGTTCCCCAAGGGCTCTGAGCCTTGCTTGTACGAATGTCCCCTGGTTTTGGGTGCGGCTGCCTGGAGAGCCAGCTGTTCGTCAGCCCCGCTGCACCCTGCTCTCATCAGCCGCTGGCCCTGCGTGTGGAGAGCTGTGCTGTCAGTACTTTCGGACGCTTGGATGTGTGTTGGTCCCCAGACAGCTCCGGAGTAGTCTCCTTCCTGCACTTGGCCTCGAGCAGGCCCAGTGCCAGTTTAGGGAGTTCAGGAAATAAGGTGTCAGCTGTTGGTCACCTCAGAATAATGCTGCTTTTTTTGTGGTATGTGGTGAGCTGCCCACCTTTTCTGAAAGCATCTTGAACAGGACCACGAGCACATGTGCTCCCACAGCTGGTCCTGCATACCCTGCTCTGTTTCTGAGCCAAGTTGTGTGGTGTGGGGCTGCCAAGGGCTGCAGAGCTTACGTGACGCCCTGTACCACTGCCCATGTGTGGCCTGCTCCCCTCCTCACACCCCCACCACCCGCATGCACCCACCAGGAGCCTGCAGCCCCTGCATCCCACTCCATACATATCCCCTCTGCTCCCTGCACACGTTTCCCCTCTGCCCTCCACCCCTGCACATGTCCCCTCTGCTCCGTCCCCTGCATGCATGTCCCCTCCTCTGCCCCCTGCACACGGTCTCTCTCCAGCCCTGCACGTGTCCTCTTTGCCCCTCCCCCTACATACCTGTCCCCTTTGCATGTGTGTTTCCCCCACTGCATGCGTGTCCCCTCTGTGTGGTAGTGTTCCTCCTGGGACACTGGGTGCAGAGGGAGCAGGGGAGCATGAATGTCTCACGATCATGTGACATCATGGTCGCCTGGCCTCCCATGCTGCTCCCCTCGGGTGTCTGAGACCATTCTCCTTGGTCTGGTGCTCCCTGTGGCCTTTCATGGGCAAAGGCCAGCATCCCTGAGCCCCTCTGGGTCTTTCTCTTGAGCCTGCCTGCACACAGCCCCTCTGTTTGCTCTTGTCCCCAGAGCCCTGAGGACACCCCGCCTGTCATTGCCCTGGCTGGGTTTGGGGCAGGAGCCTGCCCTCAGCCATGAGGTGGAGCAGCCTGTCTGTGCTGTGTCTGCATTTGCTCGTGCGGGTTGGCCCTTGGGGAGAGCAGGGGCTGAGGTCTGGCCACAAGCCAGTTGCCCTGTGGAGGAGGCACCTATTTGGGGACCCCGAGTGACTCCCCATCAGCCTAGTGAGGGCAGGGCTGGCCAGTAGGCAGGTGGACACATGGCCCTGCTTGTGCCCATCAGGCCACAGGTGTCTTACTGCCAGGTAAGGTCCTGTCACCTTTCCTGTTGCCAAGGGACTGTATACACATTTAGTATAGAAACAGAGTTTGGCATCACTGGCGATAGTTTTAAGGATAATTGAGTCATTGCAGCACTGGCCTTCCATCAGATGTTATTAAATCTTTATGAAAGGCATAAAGCATCTCTCCAGTTAAGATTCTAGAGTATGTGAACTGCTGATATTAAACTCTGAAAATGGTCATATAGCCTTTGGGACAGATATTTAATAAAACATCTAAAACTTAAAATCATGACTGTAGTCGAGTCAGTGGTTAACAGCAAGGCCCAAGGGGCAGCTTTTGTGTCTGTCTTGGTCGTGCCGTCCCTGCAGGGCCAGAGTAGGGCTGGGCTTGTGAGGCCTTCACTGAGTAGCTGAGTGAACAGGGAAGCCTGGACTGTGTCCTGTCTGAAAATGCGTGTGCTTGTTGTCAGCCGGTAATGCAGTTTAGCTGGTTTTCCTAAATGTTTCTTTGCCATCTGATTGGCTTACTTGGAATAGAAGAGAGCCCTGTAATGTCTCTTGCTTTCTGGTCAAGTACATTTCCACATTTGTGCTGGCAGCGAGTGTGGAAGCCAAGAACACCCTCGTCGGCCTAAGAAGCACGTTTCTCCTGCTAGTTTTACTGCTAGAGCTGTGCCTTAAAGTAAGAAAGCTTCCAATCCACTTCAGGAAGATTTTTATTCAGTGTAAACTTTTCCCTGTGACTTGATAAATTGGCATTATAATTGTCTGTTAAAGTCTGTATTTCAAATAGTACAAAACGGTTCTGTCAATACTTTTCATTCTAACTTTCTCATGTTGATTTTCATCATGAAAGCCCGCAGCAGAGCTCTGTGGAGAGGTCATCTCCCTGCCCCTTTGTGCCCGAGTGCCCCACCTGAGTCTGAGAGACTCTGTGCTGTGGGTCCCAGGGCGTCCTGTGACGGGGTGACGGGCTGGGTGTGCAGCAGGCGGCCTGCAGCCATGCCTCACCTGCGGCTCTCTTTCTCCCTGCCAGCTGTGGGCCAGCGTGGGCCCTTCTGGTTGTGGGGGGACTGAAGAGAACTGCTCACCACGGCTGCCATTTCTGGCCGCACAGGGCATTTTATTGCTTCAGCTAACTTGACGCTTTCCAGCTCCCTGGCGGCTTGCTGGCAGGCGCTGTGTTCAGACTCCTGTGTGCTCTCAGTTTTCAGGAGACGGACGGTGCCTGGCATGGGGCGTGTCTGGCACTGGCAGAGCTGGGCAGAAGAGGCCTGTTGCTGCCTTCTCGACTTGCTGACGGTGAGTAGCCACATCCGCCTCAGGGCACTGGGACCGGCACTAGTGCTGCCCCAGCCGCACCCCCCGCGGTGGCCCCCTGTGAGCGCGCGCCACCCCTCTGCCCCATGCAGGGCCTTAAGCAGGGAGCGCCGGGCCTGTGTCCGCGCTTCCTGCTCCTTTCAGCCTTTCTGTTTTTCTGATCGCCTCTTCTCCCTGCCATGAAATATTAATACTATAGATACACTGCTTGTCTGGATTTGAGGGGCCACAGACCATCATGACATCAGAACCTCTGGTCCCCCAGAACTGGTTTTCACCCTCCTGGGGTGCTATCGCCCATTAAGGAGATGTGCCCTGCCACAGTCTCCCTGGGGTGACATCCAGTCCTGGAAACAGGACTGATGCCCATGAGGGGATGGGGTGGAGGCTGGAGGGAGCTGGGTCGTGGGCCTGAGCAGGGGTGGGGACACTGTGTGGCAGTGCGGGGGGACCAACGAGCTAAGCCCGCATGTCCCAGCTGTTGGGCCTGGTCACAGGAAGCTGTCTGTGGCTGGTGGGGACTGTCCCTGACTGTGGCCAGCAGTGCCTCTGTGGACAGAGGAGAAGGACACCTGTAAAGCACGGAGAAGCCCCATCCTGGACTGTGTCCCCGCCACCACCCTGCACCCTGTATGTGACTTCTGTCCAGACCAAGGATGCCAGAAGCCCAGCAGGTGTTTGGGTGTGCAAGGCTGTCAAGGATCCAGATGAAATTCCACGTGTGTGGTGCCATCTCTGGTTTAATGTGAAGGAGACCAGAGGCTTCCCAGTTTTGTGCTGGAGACTGGCTGGCATGTCTCACCATGCCGACAGCATCTGCTGGCCGCAAGCAGCAGGGCGCGCATGGGTGGTGGTCAGTGTTGTAATACGGAATGTTCAGCCGGTGCTTGGAGACCATGAGACAGGATGTGTGATTGGTTGGCGTGTGGCCTTCACTTAGCGGCTGGCCAGCCCCTGCCTGGTGTGCCCTCCGTGGGGCGGAGCCCCGTGCCTGCGAGGTGGGTGTGGGGCCTGTGCTGTCTCCTGCCTGAGGAGGGCTGTGACCGGCCAGGAAGGGATGATCTTGCCCAGGAGTGGCTCTGAGGTGAAGGGCTGCCGGTCATTGTTTACCGCCATGTATTCTTTCTTCCTGCTTCTCAGGCCGGATCATTTCAGTTGCTGTATTTGAAGTCCACTTACTCTTGTGCCTGCTCAGATCTGCTGTTTTACTCTACTGACCTTTTCACTTCAGTCACTGTACTTCTCAGTTCCTGAATTTCCCTGTAGTCTCTAGTTTCTCTTTTTTTTTCATTCATATTTGTCCAGACTTTGTTCTCTTGGTTGCCTTTAGCTCTCTGAGCGTATTTGAGATAGTTGATTCAAAGTCTTTGCCTGACTAAATACATTTGGGTTTCCTCAGGGATGGTTTCTGCCCTTTTTTTTTTTTTTTTACTGTGAACAGGCCGTGCTTTTTTGATTCTTTATGTGCCTCATTTTCTCTTAGAAGCTGGGTGTTTTGAATACTGCAGTGAGGTGACCCTGGAAGTGGGGCTGTTTCCCTGACAGGCTTTGCTGCTGTTGCTTGTCAAAGGCTGTCGTCGTCTGTTTATTTAGTGATTTTTCCTAACTACTTTTGCAACCACTGTCTTCCTTGTTGTGTTTGGTCGCTCAAGTCTCTGTTCTGGTATGTCTCCAGTCAGCCAGTGACCTAGCAAAATTCCTTAAATACTGAAATCTGGTAGCCCCTTTCTTTACTAAACAATCCTCTGATTGGTAAGCTCTTGATTCTGTTCCAGGGCCCTGAAAATGCTGAGTCTTTCTTGTTTTTGCCGGCTTATTGGTGGCTTTGTTTGAGGACTGATTTGTGGACTCCTGTACTTTGCCATTTTCTGTGACATCGTCCAAAACTAGCACTTGATGATCTTCTAGCATTAGTCTGGGCCCTCTGAGAAGAAGCAGATGCTAAGACTGGAGGGAGCATGTGGGGAGGGGCGGGTGGGAGCCTGGAGGCTGGCAGAGTGGGCCTGGGGTCAGCGTGTTCCTGTCGCTGGCGGCTGTGGTTGCAGCTCCTGGGTGGCAGAGCTTTCTCCCTGGCCTTGCCCCTGCCCACAGTTCTGAGGGAGCAGGTGGTGGTCCTGCCCTCTGCCCTCTGGGCTTCTGGTCCTGCTGGGCACTGTCCAGTCTGGTGTTGGATGTTCCGTCTGTAAGAGAAGCAAAGACCATTCCAAGACATCTTTGAGTATGTGGAGTACTTGCGCAGTTCTCATTTCTTTTGGGTGTATACCTTGGAGTGGAATTTTGCTGGGTTGTATGGAAATTTCGTGTTTAACTTCTTGAGGGCTTATCACTTTTTATACGTAAGGTTAGACGCTTCCACCTCTTACGCTGGATCTTACATGAGTGCAGAAAGGTGGTATAGTTAAAAGTCAGCAAGATGGGCTTTTTGTCACAGAGACCTAGGACGGCATTACTATCCGGAGGGCCTGCCTGATTACTGTGGCATGCATGTTGCATATGGGTTTTGGAGGAATGACATCAGGAGGGTGCTGTTCGCAAGGGGGTCCGTCTTCACCCTGTACTCACACACAGTTCCACAGTGAAAGCCTGCAGGCAGTGATGGCCTTCGCCCTCCCTAGGAGCTCTGAGGTAGGCAGCTTCTCAGCAGCGAGGTGGCTCTTAGCCTTCATGTTGCAGGAGGACTAGAGAGGAGACAGTTAACTGTTCCTGGTGCCTCTTCTTGTCACTTAAGACGATGCCTTACACTTACGGGTTAGCTAGAATGTCCTCAGAACCTCTGGGCCCTTGACCTGGGAGTCTGTGTGTTTTTATGTACAAAGCACAGAGCTTGAAGCTTGCATAGCCTCCGAGGTGTGGGTCTGTTTCCCACGGAGTGTTGACTTGCCTGAAAGCAGGGGTATTCTATTTTTGTTATTTGTCAAGACCTGGTACATAAAAACAAAAAGATCTCAGGCATGCTGGCAAAGCTCACACATTCATCGGTTTTGGATCGGAACAGCATACCTTTCCTGTTAATGTCCTGGGGCTGTCTGCAGGGGCTTGTGTGGCATCTGGATGCTTTAGGGGCACTTTGTGATAGCAAGCTCATATATGTCCTGCAGGAACTGTGACAAGTTCCACATCCTTTTATGAGTTGATATCAGTGGTTTTATATAAATTTTACCTGTTGGAAAGCATGTTATTTACTATCCTGAATATTTCCATTGTAAAATAAAACTGTTTATTCACACTTTTGAATGTGTCCAGTGGAATCTAGGTGTCACAATAATTTGAAACCTACCACCCTCCATTTAAAAATGCATAGATGAGTTTTCTTTGAACCCAGTTCCCTGATAAATTTTTCCTAAGGTCATGTATTTCTATGCTTAAGAATCTTTTATTGATCTCCATGTCAAGTGTCTTCAGCAAGAGCATGTCTGTGAGTGGAAATTTCAGTTACACTTATATGGCCATAAGGTGCCAAGTATTTAAGAAATTTTCTACATAGAGTTTTTAAAGAATGAATTATTAGTACAAAGTTGATGAAACAACAGAAAATAACATTTTATTGGATGCAGCTGTTAGCAAGGTGGAGTTTTCATTCAGACATCTCTTGGTGAGTAGTCCTTATACCCAGAATCGGTTGCTGTTCTGCTTCAGTTTTTAATTTGAATTTTTATTTAAGAAATTTAATTTTTAGCTCTCAGTGCTGAGAAGCCTCATTCCATACACAATTACCAGGGAAAAGCAGAAGTTTTGCTTCCTCAATCTCTCTTCCTTGGACTCCAGAGGGATAACACCTGCGTTTTCACGGCAGTGATGAATGAGAGCAGTGGCGTGGTGGGGGGGTCTCCCATCCACCGTGGGGGTCTGTGTCCTTTGGGCCCATGCGGCTGCTGGAGGCAGTGGGAGTCTCGGGGGGCAAGGGAGTGGGGTGATTCAGGAGGTGGGGCCTGGACTTGGTGACCCTGGTGCACAGCAGGCCAGGCACGGTATGCTGTGCACGTGCTCACCCTCACATTGCGCACATGCTTACACGCACCCACACTGCACACGCGCACACACGCTCACACGGGCTTATGTGTCCACACACAACATATGCTCTTCTCAGTCTGCTTTGACTGTTGCCTCAGCTCTATATTCTCTTTTTTATTGAATTTATTTATTATGGCAAAATAGTCTAAAGAATAAGTAGTTTATGTTTATTTTCATTTTTGTATCCTTATCTTCACCTATGAGTTTTTTTGAAAATTAGAATATATACATCATTCCAGCAAGTGGAAAATGAGGCTGAATGAGTTAGGAAATTCACTGTGCCATTATAAGGACATAGAACACATCAGGAATAGCTTTTCATCACTAATGCATTTTCCTAGTGGAAATAAGTTATTTGTATAGCCTCTTGATGTTTGCGTATTTAGTCATAACAAATCACAATAGTCTTACATACAGCACTTTAATGCTCATACCGAAAGTGTTTTTTCCTAGCATTTTTTCAGTAATTGTTATTTACTTTAAAACACACAGTTAATTTAATAGCAAAACTGTTAAAATAATTGGTTCTAGTGCTGAGACATTTATAAGAAAGGTATTTTTAAAAGATTTCCTGTAGTGGCTACCACCTAAGTGACCAAGTCCTGCAGGTTTCATCTGACGTTTTGCAGAAGGGAAGCTGATGTCTGACTCCTCATCCTAGACTGAATCATTCAGGTATTTTTACAACCAAAAGCAGAAAAGCAGAAGCACCTTTTAATAGTCATGCTTGATATTTACAAGAACTGAACTGAATTACAGCTTTTTTTTTTTTTTTTTTTTAGAAGGAAAAAGAAACCACCTTGTAAAAACTGGCCACTTAAAAAAGTGAAGGTGCCAGTGAAGATCTGCTGTCCTGGCTTTGGAGGCACGTTTGCTCCGTGGCTGTGCACCCAGGAGGGCTGCACGCTAGGACACCCGCGTCCGCTTCCGCAGAGTGAACACTCTGGCTGTCTCGCTGGGCTTCATCTTCT